TGGAAATAAACCCACATAAGTTTTTATCAATTATTGAAGTTCTATGTATGTGAGCTATCACTATTAATAATAATCAAACAATATCTAAATAATATATTATTGCATTATATTAATGTATATTGATATAATATATAATGACACTAATAATAACAACAATCAATTATTAATAATAATCAATCATTTATTAAGCACCTACTATGTGGCAGGCACTGTGCTAAGTGCTGGAGATACAAAAAGAGGTAAAAGACAGTTCCTGTCCTCAAGGAGGACAATCTCATAATAATGATGACGATGATGATGATAATAATTTCTCAAATACAGGCTTGTTCATTAAATATTAAAGCTGGAAGGGACCTTAAAGGACATCTGCTCCGATTACCTCATTTTATGGTACTCCAAGTGCCCTCATGAATTCTTTATAATGTACATTATGTCAATGTCTCAACCATATCAGCAACTCAGATCACCAAAAAGCTAAAAGTTACACACACACACACACACACACACACACACACACACACAGACTCTATATGAAAGCAAGAATACATTAGTTTTCCATTCTAGTTTCATCTTTTCCAGTAAACTAGCTTTGTAACCTTAGACAAATCCTTTTACCTCCCTAGCCCTCATCTTGAATACAGGGGATTGGAGTAGATGCTCTCTAAAATCCTTTAAAGTCCTAATACTCTGCAATTTTATGATTTTCAACATTATAATGGTTAGCCTTCCTAGCCTACTAAACAATGAGTATGTTTAATGGGAAACTTTCAGTGAATAAACACAATGAACAAGATTCAACAGGAGAACAATGGAGAGGGTTCATCTCATGACAATCACTCTGTATTTAAATAGATCATCACATGATGATTTAATAATCTTTCTCTTCCCTTTCTGTGTAGAGGAGAGATTTTTTTTTTACCAGACTTTGTTCCTCCTTTCCTTTTAAGCCTGTCTTTCTATGAAAACCTTACTTCTGTCTTTCTTTCACCTTGATTTATTTCTTTATCTCTTCTCTTTAAAATACTTTTTTATTCAATTCATTTCACACTCTTGTGTATGGAATGACAGACATTTTTATAGCCCTCTGAATTGCAGAGATTCATCAGCGCCAGGGAAATGATTAGGAGTTCTAGAGCTAATATTTAGGCCCTGGCCCACAATTGCTTCTTGTCATGACCCCACTATATCAGGGTAATACAGCAGATAGTTTGGGGCTATGACAGGGTCTACTGTGCAAAACTGGGTCTTGCCAATCAGGTGAAGAATTACATTGCTCTAAGAATAACCTCAATGTCTTTCATCTCTTACCCCTCTTCAGGGAAGCTTGGGAATGCTAGTAGGCAGGATCAGTCATGAAGTTTAAAGAGTAGATGTGAGTGTGGGAGGGCAGTAAGGTTTTGCTCTGGAGTCTGGACAAAATGCAGTACAAAAGCCAGAATTTCTTTTTCTTTTTCTTTTTTTTTTAGTTGGCATACATACATACATAATAAAGGAAGGAATACAAGGCAAGGGTGTTAAGAGCTCAGGACTTTTCCGTTTCATTCAACTACTGTTCTTGAATGTTAGAAGCAAGATGAGCATCAGACCCCAAGCCTCCACACAGCTGCTGAGGAGTCATGGGGACACTCTGTCAGCTCAAGTGTTTGGGGAATACAGAATCTCCATCACGGGTTTAATAAGAATTACATGTAATTTTCCAATTCTAAGTCAGATAGATGTCTGAGACTATGACTTTGAATCAGCACCAGACAC